TAAACAGTAATGAAGAGTAGTTTGCAGTCATTCTGGATGTTGGTTGGACTCTAAAGCTGACTGGCACAGTGTAGGGGTGTGCTGGAAAGTGTGAACTCTTGGCCATATTATCTGCCCTATCACCATGCCGTTTTGCCTCATGGGTATGGATTTAAATCCCTCCATTTCTGTTCCTGCCCCTGTATGTAACTGACATGGCACATTAATGGAAAACAGTTAAATGGGACTCAGATGGCCTCCTGAGTTCCAGGTGCATTTCCATTCTGGCTCTTGTCTTGGCAAAAAAAGATCCTCAGCTAATCTTTGCCTTTCATGTGTTTCTTTTTGCACCACCATCATGCAATGGTAAGGCAGAATGGTGGCATGCATTGGTCTCTGTGTCATTCTACTTTATTTTTAAAGGGATTAAAGCGATTTTGTTCCTAGTGTAAGTTGTTTTATTGAATTTTCTGTTGCATTTTTTTTCAAATGATGTCAGTGCTAAGAAAAAGAATGGTGTATTTATAAACGTTATGAATAATCAGGTATGTTTTGGACTCTGACAGTCTTTATTCCCAGAAACAGGGCTGTGGACCTAGATGTTTCTGGATTTTGGTGTCTTTGATAATAAATCTTCATGCATTTTCATGAATGTGGTATTTTCTATGTTTAAATGTTTTTGGTAATTGGGTTGTGTGGCTCTTTCCCACCCCTTTAGTAAAGCTTATAATTAAGGGGGGGGGGAAAGTAAAGACAGAATATGATGGCAGGTAGTAATAATAATAATAATACTTTTGATTTATTGATCGTTTTTCCCACACACCTGTGGGCTCAGAGCGATTTATGACAGTTGGACTAACAATACTCATGGGGGATAGAGAAGACAACATACAGTATATTTTTAATTACACACATATTGTAGCTGGCCGGGGATTCATCTGCAAGCTGGATCAGTTGTGTTCCGACAGCATGTATTCTTGTCGGCTGGCTGATGACGTCAGGGCTTCTTGATGTCGCGCTGCCATCGCCTGGCCGACTTGCTCCACTGCAGGGATGCCGAAACAGATCTTTCAGCTTTTGATCTTGCTGCGCCACAGAAATCACTCTCAGCAGCTAACACCTTCCCAAAGGGAGTGGTGTGCCCACCCCCTTACGGGTGGTCCCCAATTTATCTACTTGCCGAAGCTTTCGAATCACTGGGTAGACGATGAGCTAGGACAAGGCTTGGTTGCTCACACCAGCACAGGGCTAGAACTGACAAAGCTTGGCAGTTCAGATGTTATAGTTAAGCAGGGGAATTAACGCCTACGCCACCGCTCCCTAGTAAGCAGTAGTGAAATGCACCCTGCAAACTACTACGTGGCATGACACCTTCAGGTCAACTCAGCATAAGGCTGGGAGCATTCTGTGCAGCTTGGAAGGGCAAATTGTGAGGTAATATTCCAGTACCTGAACATGAGGCTGAACTCAGATTGTTTAGCACACCATCTGTAACTAGAGTGCACTGTCTTCTTTACTAGTGTTTGAATGACACATATGAAGCGCCACAGCTGTTTAATGTTATTTTCTTGCCTGTGACATGTTTTGCATTTAGAGGGGCATATGCAGTACCAGATGCAATACCAGAGATTACATAATGCAACATTCACAGTTACGCTCTGGGGCCATGGCTCAATGGTAGAGCACTTGCTTTGCATACAGAAGACCCCAGACGTCCCCAGGTAGTGAGTAATATGGAGGACCCCATCAGACACCCTGGAGAGCTGCTCCTTGCCAGAGTAGCCGATGTGGATCCTGATAGACCAATGGTGTGATTTGGTAAAATATGTTTTGAGAATACTTCCTCCATCAACTGGCTAACCACCTGAAACAACCTGTAAGAAAAGCACCAAGCATGATGAGAAATGCTTTTTCCAGTCAAGTCAGGACAATTCCATTGTTATCAGTTTTGCCTTGAGAATATAATGGTGGATACATATGCATTACAGTTCTTGGAACTGGAGTTTTTGTTTAAATGCTGCATGACAAATGCAACAGTGTTCATGGCATTTCACACTCCAGTTAAGTCTATAAAAGAGAGGTGGCAATTTATTAGTGCCATAAAATTAGGGGGTGGGGCTTGAACTGCTGGCCTGGAACCTTGGCCATGAAACATCAAGTCCAGATGTTCGTGTATGTGTTGCTTTGATTGTCCAGAGGCTGGATTTGTGCTATTTCCTCCTGCTAGTCTTCCTTTTCACAGTCTTGTGGTTCATAACATTCTTTCCACTGAGCGTTCTCATAAAGGAGGTTCTTTCAATTTTAAAAAAGCTGGTCTGGCTACAGCAAATTTTTCAGATATGCTTTGTGCTAAGCTGGCTGTGGTCAGTGATATCATCTGGTTCCACTGACAAGTGTTTTCCTCCTCAGACTGTACTGAGAAAATGAATCTTTTAATGTGTGTGTATATGAGACTGGCAGACCAAGATTCTATAATGTCATGTCCATTTTTTCTTGTTTTCTAAATATTGAAAGTCTTGAGTACATTGGCAAAGGAGAGTCTCTGTTGGCCCACTATCTCACTATACATCCAGCTGGCTTCCATCTTAGCAAAAAGAGAGAGCAGAGTTATTGTGAGAACTGGATGTGTGATAGTGCTTTTACATTAAACACATGATCAGTAAAAAAAATTCATTCATAAAAGAGCAAGAAGTACTTGGAGTACAATTTAATTTGATAGTCCACAGGCCATAAAAAGATATAGTCAACCATTTCTGTCACAGTCATTTTTGCAACTGAAATTAGATTTTGTGTATCTTAATCATGATCCTGCAAGCTTGCCTCCCTCTAACATCCATGTTTTTGTCATAGATCAGTTGGTATTCTTACTAAATAAAAGAAGCCCAATGGCACCTTGAAGACTAGCAATATTTATTTCAGTATGAGCTTTCATGACTTACAGCTCACTTCAGTATCAGTTAATTTTCACTTAAAACAGATAAGTTTATCACCCATTATTTATAATTGCTAATTCTGTTTCAGACATAAGAGAGATTGTACTTTGAAGTTTTAAAATGGGAGTCACACCTCTTTAACCTCTTTTTCCCCATACAGTGAATCTATACTAGGACTCATGATTTATTTATTTATTATATTTATAACCCGCCCTCCCTGCAAGCTGATGGAATTAACCCTCTGCTTTAACTCATTCACCCCATTCTAACCTGTCCCATAAGAAGGATTCTCAGTTTGATTTCCATGCATATCTGAAGAAGTGAGCAGTGACTCAAGAAAGGTCATATTGAGATAAACATTGGTCTTTAAGGCGCAAGCAAACTTCTTTTTTATTTTGCTAAACAGACTAACTCAGCTACTCCTTTACTCTCTTTCTGCACATTTCACCATCTCTCCACGTGTTTGGATTCCTATGAAACACCACTGAAAATGGAAATATATCTTCCATCTGCATGCTGGGCTGCCAAAAGCCATCAAAAGGCAAAAATTTTCCCTAGCCTTCCCGGTAGTGGCAAGACCTGACCCAAATATAATATGAAACTAAATCACATGACTTACACAGCTTCATGGGCAGTCAGGGACACTGGAAACCCCCACCCACAGCAGCCCCGCCTCATTCCCCAGGTTTGGTGAGATAATTGTTATATGCTGCAAAAGCAGTGTCCTTTTATCCACCTTTTATCTTATGAATGCATCTATATCCTGTATTAGGTCTGTAAGAAAAAGCCAATGCACATTCACTTTGCAAGTGAAAGCGGGGACCAATACCTGGATAAATATGGGGTTTGAATAAAATGTTCAGCATTGTGCATGTGTTGAATGTAACATGAGACTCTCTTGATGCGTGTATAAAGAAAAATCAAGTGTACATCACAGTTTGTATGTGTGTTCACTCTAACTGGTGAACTGGTGGTAGGGGCAGACCATATATGAATAGGCAATTCTTGACTGTAGGCTGTGCTTCTAACGTCTGTTTCAGAGTCCTGGGGATGCTTTCTGGCCTGTAGCCACAGTGGGACATTTAGGGGCAGTGCCCCCTCACTCGTGCCCCACAACTCCTGCTGTGGGAGTTGTGCTGGCAGATAAGGAAAGACTCTTCCCTTCTTCACCTGCCTGCCAACTAGGGTTGCCAGCCTCCAGGTGGGGCATGGAGATCTCCCGCTTTTACAACTGATCTCCAGCTGACAGAGATCTGCTCCCCTGGAGAAAATGGCTGATTTGAAGGGTGGACTCTATAGCATTATACCATGCTGAGGCCCCTCCCCAAACCCTGCCCTCTCCTGGATCCACCCCCAAAGTCTCCAGGTATTTTCCAATCCAGACCTGGGAACCCTACTGCCAACGGGATCTCTATCTATACCCCCCCCCCCGATTTCCCAACTTCCCACCCACCCAAAATGTTCTGGCTATGCCCCTGGATGCTTCAGCCTCACTTTCCCCATTTCTCAGAGTTAAATGCAAGGATGAGTTCCAGAAACGTTTCTTGAAACAACTTTTCCCCGTCGCTACCCACCCTTTTTAAAAAACGTCACTTAAAAGCTTGCACGCTAGAGAGATTCAGGAGGGTAGTGAAGGTTGGCAAAGTCTTGTTTCAGTGTATCTGAAGAAGTGTGCATGCCCAAGAAAGCTTATACCCAGAAATGAACTTCGTTGGTCTTAAAAGTGCCACTGGACTCAAACTTTGTTAAGCTTGCACACTGTTATGAGTCGTGTTGGTTGGTCTTAATAAAATGTCTTACAAGGACTTTCGGATTTTTCTTTGGAGCGGCGCAGAACCTCTCTGACCGATTTCCCACAAGCTGCTGCAGCGCTCTCTGGCTCTTCCCTTAGCCCCGCTCGTATCTGTCAATTTCACACTAAGTACTTCGCGGCTGCATTTTCCCCGCAGCTTCGCCCGATTTTCTCCGCCTCTACTCAATCCTCAGGCCACGGCTGCGGGAAGCAAGCTTACTCCCGTGCCGCCAGGTGTCGCTGCTCATCTACCGCGCCGCTTCCGGTGACATTCTAGCCGCTGCCGGTCTCTGGTCTCGATTCTCCGCGTTCCCTAGTTGCAGACATGGCTGCCGCGACGCCTCTCTCCCCTGAGGACTTGCTCCTGCCCAAGGGAGGCACGGGCAAGGCCGAAGAGCTGGAAGAAGAGATGACGGAGGAGGACGATGACGAGGAGGTAGCGAGTCTTCGTCCTTCTTGCGGGGTGCCCTGCCGGGCCTCGCCATGTGCGAGAGGTCACGCCCTGGGGGCGGGCCGGCCTGGGCCGGCCCTGAGCCTGTAGGTGTAATGGAGGTTGGAGAGATGGGGACGGGGCCAGCGTGCTTTCCCTTTGCTGTGGGGGCCCAGGAGTTGGGGCTGGAGGGGGCAGCGTTGTCCTGCGATAGTATACCACAATGGTAGAGGCAGGGAAGGCTGTCCAGGCAGCGCCCGCCCACCGATCTTCTTGGTTCTGATTGCAGCTGGATGAGACATTGGCAGAGAGGCTTTGGGGTTTGACAGAGATGTTCCCCGAGGGCGTCCGAACTGCAGCCGGAGCGACCTTCGACTTGTCTTGTTCTGTTGTCCAGAAAATGTACAGGTGAGAAATGGAGGCACCCAAATCCCGTCTACCCTTATATACGTTAGAGCTGTTACACGTGCTGCTGGTGAGCATGGTAATACTCCATTACTAGTGCTGCAGAGCACTGAATCTGAAATATCCTCCTATCCTCCTTTATCCCACAGACTTGGAGCAGTTGCAGCTACCAGCAGTTTTTCCGAAGTCAAACATTTTTATCCCCACAGGGCTCACAATCTAAATGAGATGAATGGTCTGTTCTCTACCAAAGACTGCAAAAAGAATGTGTTATCTGTTTCATGGTTTTTAACTTAAAGCCCTGTGTGATCGTTTGTGCTCAGTGTGAGGCCATAAATAACCTTTGTATGTTCTTCAATTGATGGTTGAGCAGTTGAGAACTCAGAAAACTTAATGATAAAAATGTCAAAAAAGACAACTGAGCCTTTTTGAAACTGAGATTAAAAGATCGGGACTTGCCGTTTTATTAAAAAGAGAGAAGTGAATTGGTGGGTGGGGCAGAATAATTTTCAGTGTACACTAGGAAATATAGATTCTCCATGTTCATCTTTAGCCTTCAAACCAGTCTTGCTGAATAGCTTGGTCCTTATAGTCCTTAAAAATGTCATCTACTTTATGTTCTATTGCAAGCATTGTGATCTGCTGAACTGGTATTTCACGCCATGGATTTTATTGGGTTCCCATGCTAAACCCTAGGGACATGAGAAATTAGGTTTAGCATTTCTCAGCTGGAATCCAGACACCTTTGGGAATCCACAAGAACATACCTATCTGGCTAAAATAAAAATTGGCCCCTCTCATTTTTCTAGGAAAGGTAATTTCCGTACAGAGAAAGGGTGGAATGGAATCAGATTTCCCTTCTTTTGAGGGGGGGTGAGCTTGTAGAACTACCATCCCTGCAATCACCTAGTTTTCAGATAATCTCAGAGCACTAGTCAGAAAACACACTGATTAGTGGCTATTATATTATGTAGTCTGTTTTATATTCAGGAGCTGGTTCTATGTGCAGTAACAGTTGCTTGTATTGTTTATGCTAGATGTTGGAGGGAAATAACCTTTCAAATATTGAAGTTTGGAGACAGGTGGTGAATCAGATGGACAGTTAACCATGGTTTATGTATATATTAGACTTTGTCCTTTTTGTATCTCTAACAATTTTTGCGGACAAATACCACTTAAAAATAAAAAGGAATGCTAAAATTCACATGACGGCAGTTTTCAGTACCTTCATTTCCCCCTTAAATTTAAAAATGTAAGGGAAGTTCATGTTACATTGTCTTTAATTTTTACAAGTATTATTTCAATAGAAGTAACAAGTGGAGACCCGCAAGAAACTTGCGGGATGGTTATCCCATTCCTCACACCTTTGCTTCCTCCCCTCTCCCCCTATCTCTCTCACACTATTTCTCCCTTCTGCCTCCCTTTTCTTATTCTCTTTCTCCTCCATGCATGTGACTTCCTCTCTCATTCTGGCCTGTTATCATTCTCTTTGTTTTTCTGCCTCCCCACCTCATCATTCTTTCTCTCTCTTTCTGCCCCCACCCCAATAACTTTCTCTTTCTGTCCCAATCACTCTCCTAGCCTCCTGCCTGCTTCCTCCCCCACCCTGCACAGCAGCAGCAGCAGTGGTGGTGCTCCCAGCCACCCACCAACTTCCTCTCCCCCCACAGCAGCAGTGGCAGCACTCTGGGAACCACAGTGGATCTCCCAGCTACAGAGATCAATTCACCTTAGGGTTGCCAGCTCCAGGTTGGGAAATTCCTGGAGATTTGGGGGTGGAGCCTTGGGACAGTGAGGCAAGCAGCCTCAGCAGGGTATAATGCCATAGAGTCAACCTTCCAAGGCAGTCATTTTATCAGGGAAACTGATCTCTTGTCACCTGGACAGCAGTTGTAATTCTGGGTGATCTCCAGCCCTCACTTGGAGGCTGGAAATGGCTGCTTTGGAGGGTGGAGTCTATAGTATTATACCGGTCTGAAGTTCCTCCCCTCCTCAAATCCCACCCTCCCCAGGCTCCACCCCTCAAATGTCCAGGAATTTTCCAACGTGGAGTTGGCAACCCTATTTCCTTCCCACCCAACAGCCAACCTACCTTTATCTGCCTGTCTTCAGCTTTCCGTCTCCACCCCCCTCCCCCACAGCCTCTACCTAGGAAAAATCCAGTCTTTCTTCACAGTTGGGCCCAAAGCAGCTTACATTATTCTCGCCTCCTTTTTTTATCTGCACAGCAATCCTGTGAGGTTGGTTAGGCTGAAAGTATGTGACTGGTCCAAAATCACCCAGTCAGCTTCCATCACAAGATAGAGATCTGAACCTGGGTCTTGCAGACCCTACTTTGAAGTTCTATCTGTTACATCACACTGGCTTTCATAGGGTGACTGCTGATGAACAGTAGCAGGCAGCTGGGCCTAGTTGAGTCATGCAAATCAAAGGGGACCTGGCAGCCCTAGACTGCTGCCAGGCCTAGGGTTACCAACCTCCAAGTGGGACCTGGAGACCCCCCAGAATTACAACTGACCTCTAGGCAGCAGAAATTTGTCTCCTTGGAGAAAATGGCTGCTTTGGAGGGTGGACTCTGTGGTATTATACCCGGCTGGGGCCTCTCCCTTCCGCAAACCCAGCCCTCCTTAGACCCCACCACAAAATCTCTAGGAATTCCCCAGCCTGGCAGTGGCAACCCTTGTCAGGCCTGGCCCCAAGGCTCCCTCCCTCAATGGCCAAAATAGGCCAAGAAAGAGCCCCTCCCCCTGCCTTTTACTGACAGAGCCCGTTAGAAGCGCCCCCCCCCCGTGTTCTAATGTCACACAGTTGATGTCTGGAGTAGATCCCTGCAGAGGCCATTTCAAAAGGTATTGGGGGGGAATTCAACCATGCCTGAAGGTTTTTTTTTGTGTTTTTTTTTTTACTTTTTGGATATTTCTGTAGACCCAGGAAGGCCTCCTGAGTATGTAGGAAAAGCTGTTGGAGGAGAGTGAGCCCTCTGTTGGTGAAAATAAGTATCTGCACAGAAAAAATAGTGTTTATTAGATATATAGATTTCTACTTAAAACTTTGGATTTGTTTGAGTATAGCCACATTTGATTTATTTTTTTCCTAATGACATAACATTTTCTAACATTAACATGAGGTATGTTAAAACAGATAAGTAAAAGTAAACATGTTCCTGTTTAGGGCTTCAGCTTTTCAGTTGCAGCCTTATAGATTCTGCTGTCCTCTGAGACCTGACCTTGTGGGCCATTTACAGACAATACAAAGATTTTACATACTTGATTTTAAAGTATAGCAGCTGTAGTTCTCATTGTACGGTTTTGAGGACGCTAGAGGACAGAGGGCTCCATGAAGCATGTGTGGCTTGCCATGCCTTTTAAAATGGGGCTGGCTAATATGTGGTAAACCGAGGAGGGGGGAGGTTTTGAGGGTCTGCAAAAAAAATTGAAATCCAAATGGGGGGGTGTCTCTAGGTTGCTAAAGTTTAAGAACCATTGGATTAAAGTACTTTTCCAGTGTTTTAAACCATCAGAGGACTGAAAAGTATATGCTTTCTGGGCTTTCTTAATCCACTACCATTGTATTCCCCAGCCATCACAAACATAACAGTTGTTTTTCTTATTGAAAAAATCAACTTATTTTCAGGATTTCTCAGAGATCAGACAACCTTGTTATAGTAGAAATCTGAATATTGGCTACCTGTTGTATATTTTATAATTTTTTCCTAGGCTTACTAGTTCCTCGTGGTATGTTAGAATGTTACAAAATAGAAAGATTTCAGATTATGGCTAATAGAGAGAATTTTGGAGTAGAAAGCAGTGGTGAAATAACACACACATGAAGCTGCCTTAGGCAGAATTAGACCATTGGCCTGTCTGCTCTCACTGGCAGATGCTGTTCAGAGTATCAGGAAGAGGTCTTTCACTCCTGGAGATGCTGGGGAGTTAACATGGGATCTTTTGCATGCAAAGCAGATTCTTTACCACTGAGCAACAGCCCTTCCCCAAGGAAGAAGAAAATGCCTTAGGTTCAACGATATCAGTGACACTCAAAGCAGGGTAGCTGAGAGAGACAAAGGGGAAGAAGCTATAGTATTGGATCTCTAGGCAGACAAATGATGCTGGGGTAGCTCCTGAGTTTTGGAAATGGCTCCTAAATCTGGCGCGATATGCAAGTATTTTAGGTGAAGTAATAGTGTATTGTTAAGTCGTATCCTTTCCTTTAATAGCATATCCTTTCCATCATAGCAGAGATGGAAAACCATTGCTTTACTTGTGTCCTTCTACCTCTAAAGGTTCTCCAGGGCAGCTTTGTGGATTGGGACCACCTCCTTCATGATCCTAGTTCTTCCTGTTGTTTTTGAAACGGAAAAACTTCAGATGGAGCAGCAGCAGCAACTGCAGCAACGGCAGGTGAGAACTGAATTACTCTTGTGTGGCCTGTTCATTTAGTGATTCTTGTCCTGCTTTTGAAATTACTTTCTTTGATCTCTAGACCTTCAGCACTTCTGTTCCTCTCCCTCCCTCCCCCCATCATTAGCCACTGAAATGTAAACATAGTTTTTATTTTTGTATGTTATTTATTTGTAGTTTCTTCTACACATGTAATGTCTCACAACCCTTATATGTATAATCTACTCCAAAACATACCCCAATTATATATTAACTTTTCCCCTGATGAAGACACACATTATCACCACACGCCCACGTTCTTATCCTTTCCAATCATAATTGCTTTTCTCCTTTCAGTAAGATGAACCTTCTCAAGCCTTTAAATGAACACCTGGAGGTAGAAACTTACATCTACCATTTCTTCTGATAGGATTTGCTTGGGTGTATTTGCTCAGAGGTTAAGACGCTGAGTTGCAGACTGGAAGATCGGTAGCTCGGCAGTTCGAGACCCTAGTGCTATCTGACGGAGTGAGCTCCCGTCTCTGGTCCCAGCTCCTGCCACCCTAGCAGTTCGAAAGCAAGAAATTGCAAGTAGATAAATAGGTACAGCTACAGTGGGAAGGTAACAGCATTCAGTGTGTCTCGGCGTTTAGTCACGCCGGCCACATGTGACCACAGAGAAATCTTCAGACAGTGCTGGCTCTTTGGCTTGGAAACAGAAATGAGCACCGCCCCCTAGAGTTGGATTCAACTAGCTTTCGAGCAAGGGAAACCTTTACCTTAATATTTAGTGCTTTCAGAATGAGGGCATCTGAGAGCTGGAGCCATTATTACAGCAAAACATGCAAGTGACTGCAGGGCTTCCTAGCCTATGATATATGTCCTCAAAAGAAGGCATCACCTTCTTCTTGTCATTGGCATATCTATGACCTTGGTTGGGTTCCATCCTTCATTTAGTGGATCATGGTGGCACATGCCATCCTTGTTTAAGGTGCTCAGCCATAAATATAATTCGTGGTAAAACATGTACATTCCTTGACTATCTGACTAGAGATCAAAATATTGGAACCTAATCTTGCACAGCTGATGCCTTAATATTTCTGTATTGACTTGACAATTCTCATCTTCTGAAGGGGAAACCCTTCCAGCAGTGATATAGACTGTGAGGCATTGTGTTGCACAATAAGAAACAGTGCATTGCTTGAATCACTACGGAGCTTCTCACATTGACCTTGTGCACCAAGGCAGTTTGGGTAGAATTATTTTAATGAAAGGCAACAACGAACACTACAAAATGTCATCAAATGCTGGGCTTGCATTCTTCAAAAGAACTATGAGACATGCAAATCTGAGGGGAAATCCTTCCCAGTTAAGCTGTAAAGAAGGCTTGAATGTTGTTCTTGTGTTCAGTCTTGTTTTCTCATGATTTCTTACAGATTTTATTAGGACCCAACACAGGGCTGTCCGGAGGCATGCCAGGAGCCCTGCCTTCTCTTCCTGGAAAGATTTAGAGAAAATTACATTGGAGCCATATCATGAAAGGAAATCTTGAAATTGTTGGAACTTTTGATTGGTTAGGCTGGAGCATTTCCCCCCCATAAGCATTGGAACATCAGCCTATTCATGGTGGAGGCAGGATCCCTTTCTGGATCTCCTGAAATGGGCTATCTGCCTTCCCCCTTAGGCAGTCTTGACTTTTTCCATCCACTGAATCCATGTTCTAAGCAACTGCAAAGACTTTAATAGCTTATGTTCTGGTATCCTTATCTCCAGGAAGCCACCTCAGGATATGTCACATTCTGGTTAACTTCAGCCAGAAATAGTGTCCATGTAAATATTCCTGTATTCCTCTCCTGCTGTATTGAAGACCTACTTCAGCACAGTAACAGCAAGAAATTGAGTGAATATTCCAGCACATACAGCGAATGGAAGAATCTAGTATGTACATTAGACTGTATATGCAGTGGGCTCCTACTTGAAAGAAATTACATGCCCTGTAAATGTATTTAAAAAATATGGGGAAGCGGGAAAAGTCATTTTTGCCAAGTCTCTCTGCTGAATCTATTAGTATCAAAGTCAGCTAAAGTACTTTTGTATTAAATAGTTTCAGTGCAAACACTGGAGTGTTTTCTTTTAAAATTTCATGTACTGTTTGCTTCTTTAGGTTGGATAATATATAATGTTATACCTCAGCTTTATGTGTGTGTGTTTAGCAGAGATCCTTCCTAAACTAGAATGGGGGCAAGAAGACTTTTATTTAAAGCTTCAACTTCTTACCAATGTTTATTTTTACTTTGCATGCATCATTACAAGACTCTTCACTGCAACAGAAAGTGACAAGACACACAGAAAGGTTTTTTCATTTTTAATATTTTGGTTAAACAAAATACATCTCTGTAAACAAACCCAAGACAAGGCTATAACAAAACCAAACAAGCAAGAAAACAATTATGGGCTTCTCCATTCCCAAGCAATGGGACTGGGCTAGTTTCTTCTCTCTGTTACCATAACCCTTATCCAGAAGGGTGTGTGTGATCACATGTTCCCTTTTCCTGAGCAGCTGAATCACACCCCTTTCCCTGGGAACAGAACAATGGCATTAATACAGAGAAGAGAAACAGCCTTAAGTTTTTTAAAAGATATTTGCATATTGTGCACTGGTCCATTGACTTCCATGCAAACAGGGTCAATCCAAAGTGCTATTTAGTCAGAGCATAGTCGTTCCTGCTGAGTTTTTTTTTTAATGCTCTTCAAAAAATGGCTTCAAGTCAGAAGCAGAACTGCAAGCCTGACGTTCTGCTTGTGAAAAGTGTGGGTAGGTGTGTACAAATTCTGCCAGCTGGTTTTGGTCATTGGAATGTGTAATCCGGAGGGGGAGGGCTTTGTAAAAATAGACGTATTGGGGCTTGGAACTGTAGTACATGCAGAGAAGAGCCACTCGTGTTTCCAGTATATTGTCTGCAGGTTGTCCAAAGGCCAACAGATAAGATCATATTCCTATCTTGACACCACATGCTGCATCAAACTGAAAGGAGGGTGTAGGTACTTGGAATGCTGAATTAGCCAGCAGTATACATCATGCTCACTTTCAGGAAGGGCAGGCCAAAGACTCCCACAGCAGTGGGAAAAGTCTGTTTCAGCCCTCCTTTGTAGCTAATGTAAATAGCCTGCCTGCTAGTATGAAATGCAGAAAACGTGGGTTCTGTTTCTGCTGTTCCAATATTATTGGAGGTGAAGCTGGTAGAAAACAACAGTAATGAAAAATGCAACAACAGAATAAACCCAGCCTCAAAGAAGGGTCGATAATGAAAAGTCCATTCTAAATTATTCATTTCATCTACTGATTGTGACAAGAATATTACATACAGCACCTGCATGGGGTAACAAGGAAAACCATAATTCAGTTTCCTGCTGGGGTATGAGGTCAGAGGGAGGAAGGAGAGGGTGGTACAGCATAAAGCTGATTAATTCAGAGGACTGTTCACCTGCCAACCATAGTGGAAGACTGTGGTTCAGTCTACCTCCAGTAAACAATCTCCTCTTGCCCTCAGCCAACTTGCTGAAACACCTTCTACCCCAACCACTTCCAACTGCTATGGGAGCCAAAGAAATCTAGCCCTTTGATCCTAGTTCACATTTCTCCTCCTGGAAATTAAAAAAGAACATTGCCCTTCCATCAGCACTGTCTTAGGTTACTAATATTTAGCCAGCCTTCCCTTTAATTTCATGATTCCATCCCCTAGTTTTATTCCTTGCTCAATGAGTATCTCCCTGCATAACAGGATCGACAAACAGGAAAAATGTATTTAGACCACAGCTGAGTCACTCCCCTTCACCCCAAGAGAAACAAAAAACCTGTGAGATTTTTCAGTAAGCTATCGCTTACCTCTTCCAACCAGGCTACTCTCTTATGCTCAGACCAACAAAGGACACATTTATATCAGCTAGTAGAAGGCAAGAAAACCACAGGAGTTCCATAGTGATGGTCCCATTTTCCCCCCTACACGTTCCCCAACTCTTGGCACAATTAGGACTCCGCAAGCACCATACTGTTGCTAAGAGTATCTAGAGTTTCCTGAGAGACCCACATGGTTTTGCAAGTTCAAAAGAGTTGTGTGTGACTATGAAGGGAGCATGCTTGGCCCCAGCCTTCCCATAAAGGAAAGACATGCTTTCCAGCCAAAAGGAGCTTTGGAAACGTCTGGGGACATTAGTGTGTAACTGCCTAAAGTCTGGGAAGGAAGAGAAAAGGGGGATTCCAATTCCTCACTCCTAGTATATTAATGCATTTTAGAGCACACAGCTGATTCTTCCTTTTCCCAGTAAGTGTCCAGTTTCTGTTCTTCATGTTGGCCCTGACAATACCTCGTGGCTGCTTTTATTGCACCCTTAAAATAAAATACCCCCCAAACTTCCAAGTTCCAGGGAAGAGGAGTTAGAGCACTTATTATCCACACCACAGGACACAGAAGTTGGTGAGGGGAAAAGACCAGTACTGTAGTGCAAGAACAAGGTGTTTGCAGGTCATGCATCAGCTCTCCAACTTTGATGTGCCTCTACGTCCTCAGGCACTACCAAGAGAAGTTCACAGTTCTTTCCTCGCAGCTGGTGTCTCAAAAACTTCCTATGATATTGAAAAGGAGAGGGGAAAGGACAGTTAATGACATTAGCTTTAATCTAGAGAGAGACCTAATGTCTTTGGGCCTGCATATCTAAATTATTACCTCAAGCCTTCTCTTCCTCACAGCTCAAAGGCCAGACAGTTGGGACTTAATCCGGGAGATCTGGACTCAAGTCCTAATCTGCCATGGACTCACTTTGTGGCCTCAGACAAGTTGCTACCTCTCTACCTCAGTGGCTTATCTGGACAATGAATATAATACGAGAATTACTACTTCAGTTTAAATTGAAGCTAGAAATCTATACTCATTCCTCAGACCAAGGACACAGTCTGTGGTACACAGAATAACGAATGCCTACTTCCAGATCCTATCTCCTACTGATAATTTCCCAAATTTGAAGGACAAGATCCAGAATAACACATACATATACTTCCTTTTCCTTTTTAAGCTTTGTTGTCAAGCTTCAGTCTCTCCACCTCTCAGAGAAGTTAAAATCCAACCATACTTCACCAAATACATACTCCAGCTTACACTGTATGCCAAGGCTAAAATGGAAGACCACCCACCTGAGCTCACTTTCACCTCCAATCCATTCAGGCACCTTGAGTTTAGAGTCAAGATTGTAGTAAGAACCTCCCACTTCCCGAACACAGATCCAATGTTGTCGTTTAAGGGGAAGTTTCAATGGGCCCCAGCAGAGGCTTGAGGGCAAATTCATAATGAAGCCCATCACATTAGAGAGCGCAATTACATTAACATCCCTAGGAAAGAAAGAAATGGTAAGGCACTTGCATCCAGTTATAAAACCCAACTGAGAAGCAGAGTCTTCTGCTGATAGTGAGCCTCTCTTGATACTCTGGTTCTTCTTACCTACGCTTATCCCACCAAACTGCTTCATAGCCTTTGGTTTGAAGAGCTGCCATGATGACGTTCACATCATAGTTCCCATTTCCCAGCATGCTCTTCTTGTGTGGGGTCACCATGGTATTGGGAGACAACCT